CACCAACCCTCATCCACCCAACGATCTGTCACGTCCCAGTGCTTTCCCTTGTGTCATGGTTGATCAGGCCATGAGCAACTCTGGGAAATGCCTGGTCTCCAGAAGGCTGGTCAAGATGGTTAAGCCAGTGCATACGAGTTGGACTACTGGGGTGGTCTGACAAGTTGTCGGAAATTGGCAGCCCCTCCACTGAAACCCTGAAAAGCAAAACCCAGTTGACTGTAATCTCCCTGCCATATTGGTGTCTCAATAATGAATTCCCTCAAAGCTTTGACAGCTATGAAAATGAGAAAATAATATTTTTAAAAATAATCTAAAAAAAAAAATTACCTGTGAATATTCACTGTCTTGGTTCCTTCCAAAGAATGCAGTCACAACGCTCTTCCGAGTTGCTTTGTTTGGGTGGTCTCACAAGTTCTACGTAGACAGTAATTCACCCCTCCATTTCGACTGCCGGGAAGAACTGTAACACAAAGTGCATGTAACATAAGAAACCCTGCCAACAAGTACGAACGATTTTCAACATTTCTTGTTGTAGCAGCTATTTCCAGGCAGTCTCAAATTAACTTCAGATGAATTCCTAACATCTTGTGATTCTCATAATATTAAAGTACTTCATAGTTTTCTTAAAAATATTATCCAACTCTGATTAAAACTTTATTATTTATCAAGTAAATTAATTCAAATTTATAAGGCAGCAGTATATATAAAGGAGGATTCTTTGAAAGAAACCACATGAATTAACTCCCATGCCAAAAAAGAGTTGACAATGACAATCCCAAAAACCACTTAACTGTACTCCCGCTGATATTCTGCTGTCGACATAATGAACTCCCTCCATGCTCTTCAGCTATGATAATTAGATATTGATAATATTAAAAATGATCTCAAAAGAAGGGAATTACCTAAGAATATTCAAACGGCTCCTCAGGGGCTCTGTTGTCCTTCCTTCTCTTGGCTGCAGTCGCAATTCAATTCCACCCCGGGCCAACTCTACACCAACACTCATCCACCCAACGATCTGTCACGTCCCAGTGCTTTCCCTTGTGTCATGGTTGATCAGGCCATGAGCAACTCTGGGAAATGCCTGGTCTCCAGAAGGCTGGTCAAGATGGTTAAGCCAGTGCATACGAGTTCGACTACTGGGGTGGTCTGACAAGTTGTCGGAAATTGGCGGCCCCTCCACTGAAACCCTGAAAAGCAAAACCCAGTTGACTGTAATCTCCCTGCCATATTGGTGTCTCAGTAATGAATTCCCTCAAAGCTTTGACAGCTATGAAAATGAGAACATAATATTATTAAAAATGATCAAAAAAAAATAAAAAACAAAAGGAAATTGCCCGGGAATATTCACCGTTTCTCTTCCTTCTAAAGCATGCAGTCACAACGTTCTTCCGAGTTCGCTGGCAAGTTGACCATTACAGAAATTCAGCCCTCCATTTCAACTACCTCCAAAACTGCAACACAAAATGAAATTGAAAATTAGAAAATAATAATATTAAAAATGATCCGAAACAACTACAAAAGGAAATCACCTGCGAATATTCACTGCCTTCCTTCCTTCCTTCCTTCCACGGCATGCAGTCACAACGATCTCCCGAGTTGCTTTGTGGGGTGGTCTCACATGTTGTCCGTAGACAGTAATTTGCCCCTCCATTTCAACTGCCAGCAAAATCTGTAACACAAAATACATGTAACATAAGAAACCCTCCCAGGAAATATGATTTTCACCATTTCTTGTTGGAGCAGCTATTTCCAGGCAGTCTCAAATTGACTTCAGAAGAATTCCTAACATCTTGTGACTGATTATATTCTCATAGCAAAAGAAAACATTTCCTCACTCATATATCTCGAGTTCCAATAAAACTTGTACATTTACATGCCGAGAGAAATAAAACAATCACCCAGATCATGCTCTGAAAAACGAAACATACCTGATCTCTGACCTGTTGTCCACGGGCCTCCACCTAAGCTTCTGTCGGACCACAGATATCTTTCATCCAGTGACAGAAGGCTTCCCTCTTAGTCCTCAGACCTCCATTCGACCCTCTTCTTCAACACTTCTCATTCCAGTCTCAAGCTCCAGGGAGTAGAACGTCTCCTTCCTGTTTGATGTAACCAGAGAAAACAAATTAATCAGATATAAAGGACTTCATAGTCTTCTGGAAAATAATATCCAAGTTGGGATTAGAAACTTTAATATTTATCAAGTATATTAATTCAAATTTATAGGGCAGCAGTATATATAAAAGGGGATTCTTTGAAAGAAACCACATGAATTAACTCCTATGCCAAAATGAGTTGAAAACGTGAAACTCAAAAACAACAACTTAACTGTACTTCCACCGATACACTGCTGTCGACATAATGAATTCCCTCCATGCTTTTCAGCAATGATAATGAGACAATGATAATATTAAAAATGATGGTTAAAAAAAAAAAAAAAANGAATTACCTCAGAATATTCATACAATTTTCTAAGGGGCTTTGTCGTCCTTCGTTCTCCCTCCTGCAGTCGCAACGCCATTCCACCCCATGCCAACTCTGCACCAACTGTCATCCACCCAGAGATCTGTCAGGTCCCAGTGCTTTCCCTTGTGTCATGGTTGATCAGGCCATGAGCAACTCTGGGAAATGCCTGGTCTCCAGATGGCTGGTCAAGATGGCTGAGCAAGTGCAAACGAGTTGGACTATTGGGGTGGTCTGACATGATGTCGGTAATGGGCAGCCCCTCCACTGAACCCTCTGAAAAGCAAAAACCAGTTGACTGTAATTTCACTGCCATACTGGTGTCTAAATAATGAATTCTGTCCACACTTTGACAGTAATGAAAATGGGACAACAACAATATTAAAAATGATCTCAAAAAGAAAAGAAAAGAAAAGGAAATTACCTGAGTATATCCACCGTCTTCCTTCTACCGCATGCAGTCACAGCGCTGCTCCGCGATGGTTTATCAGCTGCTCTGACAAGTTGTCGGTAATCGGCCCCTCCACTGAAACCCTGAAACACAAAAACCAGTTGTCTGTAATTTCACTGCCATATTGGTTTCTCAATAATTAATTTCCTCCATGGTTTGGCAGCTATGAAAATGAGACAACAATAACATTAAAAATGATCTCAAACAAGAAAAGAAACAGCGACTGAAATGATCATGTACAAACTGGACCCCAGGTGTGTAATACGTTTCGAACTTTCCAGTGTTTACATTGCGAGATGACTTGCAAGAGAGTAGGAAATTTTGCGAATATGCCGCTCCGAAGCTTGGTCACGGCATTCAAAACGTAACATTTTCACGTCTCCGGATTCCGCCGTGGCACCACGCTAATATAAAAAACGCTTATGCCACCGTGTTCCCGACCTTTCGGCAATGTTCCTGCACCGGGTGCACCACAGAACTGACCCCCACTCCTGTAAATACGCCGGGTTCAGGCGAAAATATAACTAATTTCCCGTCTGTTATTAAACGTGACACCACGTAATGTAAACACCGCTTAAAATGACCTGGATTTCTCATGACATGTGTTTATTGGTGAAAAGTTCCATCTTCATATTTTGACCAATTTGAACATTTCCTCCGGTCCTTGAATTCCAACAAATTAGGTTCTTAAAACGTTGTCTGCCTCTCGCTTCCGCATGGAAGGTAGGGCCGATTTTATTCCAGTAACTCAGTACCTGACGCATGCGAAGACGTAGGCTGAATGGGGAGAGTTTCCAGAAACCCAAACTCCCCAAAACTACTCATTGCGTCCTTTTCGGAAACGACTCTATCATAGGAACTTCCATGTTATCGAACCCCTCGAGGTAAGACGCAAAAAGAAACCCGAATTTTTACCTTGAAGACCATTTTAATATTATTTTTCGATCTCAACTTAAACCTTCCAAGTGGTCTCTACATCTCAGGTTTAATCCAATTCAAATGTCATTCCTCCTATTTACGTGTGCAATCCATTGCAACCCTCCGGCTTTCACTACCGAAAAAAACAATCTGACTGCGAACTTTACCCGTCATCTAACGCTACTACTCGTTACTAACACCGGTCCTCGCAGTATCAACGGAAAATACAGCATGGTAAAAATAAAATAAAAAAAGAGGAAAACATGTTCTACACTATTCCGTAACGTCCAGTGTTTACTGAAAAGTTCATATACTGATTTCACCTTCAAAGAACGCTTATCAGTGGGGCAAATTTCAAGTAGATAGGTCCTCTAACAATTTTACCATTGTCCATTTTAATATCTTCAAATCTTAATCTTAGATCCCCCAATTTGACACAAGATTTACGATCTCCTCTTCTGCCTCATGTCACGTCCTCTTCCTTTTTGTCAACCCGTTGCTAATTTACCCCTCGATGTTCATCCCTTACACATACAGGTCGCCTGCTGTCGTCAAATGACGGAGAAAACCCACAGATTATTCACCCTCACTTTACTTAACCCCAAACCTTAATCCATCTTACGGGCACATGACAAATAGGGGAAAAGAGTAAACATCTTCAAATACTAAGTATTGAACTACCAAATACTCAGACTTTAAGTAACTTAAAATAAAATATTGTGCAACTGTAAAAACCTGGAATTATCGGCATAATCCACTTCAATAATTAATTATATCGAGCTTACCTGCTAATTCATTACGAGCCAGACACACCACAAGGGCCCATGCAATGACAAGCTGTACGCTCTACACCCTCTACACGCTCTCCCAACAAAAGGACCTCTTGGACCTCTTAGACCTCTTCGACCCTCTTCGACTGTATTCCTTCAGCTGCCACCACCAAAATCAACAAACTGCAGGAACCACGTCACATATATACCCTTTGGGGGGTGGGGTTGGGGGGGTGAAAGAGAAATGGGGGGAATAAATAGTGGTGGTGGAACTTCACTATTAGACGCTATTAGACAGACTAAAAAAAAAATAGATGACCAGGATTTCTCCTCTTCATGACAAATGTTTTAATAATGGTGGTGGTGAAAAATTCCATCTCGATATTATGATGGCTTTGAACATTATCATGTCCTTGAATTCCAAGAAATTTGGTATTTAACGGCGCATATATTCACTGTGGGGTGGGGTGATAAATAGTAGGAATAGAACTTTACTATTATACAGACTAAGATGACCAGATTTCTCCTCTTCATGACAAATGTTTTTGTAATGGTGGTGGTGAAAATTCCATCTCGATATTATGATGGGTTTGAACATTATCATGTTCCTGAACAGCCCCGTGACACTCTCATGTTATTGGTTGGCAACATGGCCGCCATGACACATCGGGGCAATGCTGCTGCCATCTATTCACAGCTTACGTGAACTAAATTTAAAATGGCCTCCAGGGCCGAGAGCACAATCGGTAAGAAGGCATGCTACCTTAGAAACTATTTTGAGTGCTCCCCTTGACCCCCTTAAAATTCTTTTTTTCCGCTTCTTGCAATAAATTTCAATATCACTAGTCGAGGAGGATGATTGATAAATTGGAAAGCATCTACAAGGAGGCAACTGTGGCCTGAGAGACATACTATCAAGGATTAGCTTTGAGGGGTTGAGGAAAACCACAAATAACCTTCTGCGGGATAGTCGATGGACCACGCAGCGTGCCCATACTGGCAGCACTACAGATAGCTAAATTTCTTGTTATGGACTGCAATGCTGAAGTATAGAATATGCAGTATGACAAAATGCCCATTCCCCACTACGTACGCGCTGATGTCTATTCAGATGACTCTCATGACTGAATGATTTATTACACATGCTGCAGCAAAATGTCTGCTCCACACTGTGTATGTGCTGATGTGTCCTCAGATTAAACTGTTGACTGAATGATTCACTATGCTAATCACAGGAATATGACTGCTCCTCACTATGTACAGGCTGAAGTTCATTCAAAGTACTCTGGAAAATGAGAGTAACATGACAATTCCCAGTAGGAAGACAAATGGGTTTGACAACCCAGTGGAGTCAGATGTTAAAACGGGTTGGCATGAAAGTGGTGACAGAAAAAAGTGGCAAGGCAAGGAGAGGGATGAAGACAGAGTACACAACAGCCCCTTGTGTGGTGCGAGCCTGTGTCCGTTAGCATGCATATCAGTTTGCAAGTGAATAAAAGTTAAAGATGTATAGGTGACAAAATCTTAGGGGGGAGGGGGACTAAGTGCACTGAATTTAAGTATAACTCTTTCAAGTTATTAGTGTTGTCATTCTACTATATTAAATTTCCGAATTCCAATTAATAATATTATCAACAGTGTGTAATTTTACTGAACAATTACACAATTAAACCTAAATTTAAACATACTTCAGTACTTTCAGTTGACTGCTGTCCTCCACAGCAATGGTGATCGGGGGGGGGAGTCCCTCNGCGCAGGCGACAGTCATGGAGTACACTGTTGAACATCGAGTGTTTCTAGTGCCTAGTTGAAAACGGCAGACACTTTCAACACCTGCTCTAATCATGGCACACAATCCAAGATATGTGTAAATTACTTTAATATCTGTATGGTATATTTTATATTACAGCTCATTTTGTCAGGCCGGTTCTATATGAATCACCCTGTATTATATTACTCCACAAGCTGATTCAACACTTCTTTATTGAACTTTCCTTTTGTAATAAACACACAAAATGACATTTTTCCTGTTAACGATCAACAGGGCATACAGTATGTTCATGTGACCAATCAATAGTAGTCATCTGAATTACCAAATTCAAATGATATATCATTTTGTAACTAAATGAGCAACAGATTTATTCACAGCACACAGTGGAAGGGCACAGATAACATAAGAGCAAAAGATAGATGATTCATCAGAATTACGTTTACAAGCTGTTGTTCAGTTTCAGTAACTATACTCCACTAATCAACAGCTTCCACAGCTCAACTAACATGATAACTGTACATGAATATCAAGTCATGTCTGTTTCCACTCAACAAGACGGTCTTGTGCACATTCAGCAATCAGAATAAAACAGACAGTGAAACGCAATGACATTATATACCATGGGATGCAGTTATTTCCCATATCATTCAGAAAGGTTAGCAACTGCAAATAACTCCAGTTTCTTACAGGATTCTGCAAAAATGCAGGATGCAATAGAGTAAATATGTCTGACTTATAGCAAGAAACACTGTAGCATGCCACATGTCACGTATATTTCCATTAGTCTAAACCCATCTCTACAGCTCTATGATTTATTACACACATCAAAATGTTTGCACTGATGTGCCTTCATAGTATTCTGATGATGGAATAACTTATTACACACATTACAGGTAAATGGCCGCTCAGCACTATGTACACGCTGATGGTTCATCATGCATCCCTTACGACTGAATGACTTATTACATAATTCACAGCTAAATGGGCGTTCCCCACTATGTATGCGCTGATGTTTCTTCAAATTACTCTGATCACGGAATGGCCTATTACACACATTACAGATCAATGGTTGTTCCCCAGTATGTATGTGCTGATGAGTCTTCATATTACTCTGCTCACGGAATGACTTATTACATAATTCTCAGAAAAATGGCCGTTCCCCACTATGCATGCGCTGATGTTTCTTCATATTACTCTGATGATGGAATGACTTATTACACACATTACAGATAAATGGCCTTTCCCCACTGTGTGTGTTGATGTCTCATCTGAATGACTTATTACATAAGTCACAGAAAAATGGTCGTTCCCCAGTAGTTAGTTATTGGAGAGGGTGTGTTTCCCCGTGCACTTAGACCTGTAGTGGTCCATTGTGCTTCCCTCTATGATTTCTACCAGTCTCTATATCCTACCGGTGCTGGTGCTTACCATCAGTCCCTCCCAGCCGAAACCGGCTCTACTAGCTGAGTGGTATCTATAATGCTTCCCCCATCTACCAGAGGTATTAGAGACTGCTGTTGGGCGGGAAACGTCCGTTGATTTGGCTCAGTGACCTCCTTCGGAGATATGAGGTTCTTTTATGTGCCGTAAAGCTACGACACGGGACCCATAGCTTAAAGTCCCTCCCGGAGGACTTGTTCCCTGAATTTTTCCACCCTTAAAAATTTGACGACCTCTGCCAGGTATTTGAACCCGCGTACTACGAGTCATGAGGTGGGAACGTTACCTCTAGACTATGGAGCCGCTTCGTTCCCTAGTATGTATGACCTTGTGTTTCCTCAGATCAATCTGCCGGTGGAATGACTTATTACACACATTACAGATAAATGGCTGTTCCCCACTATATATGCGATTATGCCTCTTTAGATTATGCTCATAATTAAATGACTTATTACAAATATCACAGCAAAATGGCCGCTGACCACTATGTATGCGCTGATGGACCTTCAGTGATCCCTTTTGACAGAATGCCTTATTACATAAGGCACAGATAAATGGTCGATCACCAGTATGTAAGAGCTTGTGTTTCTTCAGATAATCCTGCTGACGGAATGACTTATTACATACATCACAGTTAAATGGCCTTTCCCCACTATGTAGGCGCTGATGTCTCTTCATATTACTCTGATCATGGAATGACTTATTACACACATTACAGATAAATGGCCGTTCCCCACTATGTATGCGCTGATGTGTCTTCAGATGACTCTGTTGACTAAATGATTTATTACACACGTTGCAGCAAAATGTCTGCTCCCCACTGTGTATGTGGTCATGTGTCCTCAGATTAAACTGTTGACTGAATGATTCACTACTCTCATTACAGGAATATGGCCGCTCCTCACTATGTACATTTCGAAGTTCATTCAAAGTACTCTGGAAAATGAGAGAAAGTAACATGAAGAATCCTAGTAGGAAGAGAAATGAGTTTGACACCTCAGTGCAGTCAGATGTTAAAATGGCTTGGCTTGAAAGGGGTGACAGATAAAAGTGGCGAGGCGAGGAGAGGGACAAAGACAGATTGCACGGCCCCTTGTGTGGCGCGAGCGTGTGTGTCCATTAGCATGCATGTCAGTTTGTGAGTGAGTAAGAATTAAAGATGTCTTGGTGAAACAATCAGAGAGAAAAGTGGATTAAATTCCAATTAATGAATATTGGCACTCTGTATGTCTTAAAAAGTCAGAAGAGATGTAATTGACAAGAGTTCCAAATCTTAATGTGGGAGTATTTGTATTTATTTTATCTCATTTTGGCTAGATTTACCATTTATGTCTGTTATTATGATACAAATTTTGAGGATTTAATTGAACCTGCAAAAAAAAATAGCTGGATTTAAATCATTCTTATCAAAAGTAGTAAATCACATTTAAATATAAATAAAATCGTTATTTATTTTTTTAAAAAAATATTACTTCAATTTCATTCATTATGATTAATGAGATCTTCTCTGAGAAGAATTCATCTTAACAAAACTACAGTTTTCCGTAAGTTGGCTGTCTTGCGCAGTTCAGTGCCAATGCCACAAATGAAGCTTTAGTTGACGCACTGTACAGATGTGGATTAACTGGAACAACATTTCTTGGTTACATTGTGTTTCTCAAGCATCATGATGCCAAAAGCAACTTATTGTTGGAAAGGAAGAACAGTGACTAAAAGTACACATGAGAAAACACCAGCTCAACAGAAAAATGACTGCACATTTTACAGAAATTTGTTAATTTTCTGCTGTGCTACTTGGTTACTGTTTCCAGTGTTGCCACACATCTAGAATGAAGTTTCCAAATCAAGTAAAAGTTGAAGTTTCAATACATTATTACTAATTTCTTCTGAATGGTGTATTGAATGTAAATGTAATTCTGCAAAATCATTCCTTAAAGGCCTAAGTTATAAGTGTAAATATTTTGAAACTCATGGTACCAATTCTTACATATTTTTTATCTAGTATAATGAATGAGGTGAAAAACTTCCATATGATCTCACATGTAAATTTAGTGAAAATTGAAAGTGCAATAATTTTTTAACAAGTTATTGAAATAAGTCCATATTTTTTATGGATTTCAGAATAAAAGAAAGAACAATCTGTACAAATTTCATTCATTTTGTACTGTTTTAGGTATATCCTATACATCCTTAAGCTGCATTGCCACTGTTTAACAAATTATAGAATTAAATAAAATTATGCATTTGTAAGGTTGTATAGGCAAAAAAGGTACAGTTGTCCTTGTGCTTAACTAATTAAGCACTATGACATGAAGGCATATGGTGAGTGGATGTTTAGATCAACATCTCTGTGACCTCGAAACTAGCTGGAGGTGACTGGTCAGCTTCAAGCCCCTGCCACTTTATCCCCGGGGAAA